AATTGGGATGGGTGTATCAGAGACAGTGCGATTGGCACAGGACAGAGTAGAGTTTAGGGTTGTTGTTCATAGGGTCGCTATGGTTGCAAGTGACTTAACGGCACATAACAACAACAACAACAGGAATAAGAATTGGCCATTCTCTTCTGAAATAGCAGGCCTTCAAAAACCCTATGCACAGTAGAGCACATTTAGACTAGCAGATATGGCTACACAATGAAGTACTATGTAGTACTAAGGAGCAACAATTTTATAAAATATTCTATAACACAGAAGAACCCAGAGAACACTGTGCTGAGAGTAATAACTCAGACTCATAAGGACAAATACAGCATAAGATCATTACTGTAAAAATAGAAGAATAACTTGTAAGATGTCAATAGAAGTCCACAACAGGATATGGAGACAGGTAGGTAGAGAGTGAGGAGGGGAGGAAATCACTAGGATAACAGAATTTGGTAAGCAAAAGGGGGCAGTGAAGGAATTAGGAAAGATTCAATGTGGACCTGAAAGAGGGTGTTGTAGTAGCCTTAGATCAATGGTACTTAATTTTATAAAATATAATATACATGAGTGACTGCTTAAAGCACAATTTGAATGTAGGAATTCATGAAACATGAAGTATATGAATGGTACACAATATAATAAAAATTTTATGCAAAGCAATATAAAATGAAACTGAAGTAGAGAGAAAATAATGACGAATGAATAAAGAAATGGATATATCAACACAGTGGAATGCTATGAAGCACTGAGGAACAATGAAGTATTTGTAAAATAAAACAGAACATGGAGAACCTATAGAGCATTGTTGTTGTTGATTGCCTTTGATCGAGCACAACTCATAGTGACCCTATGAACAGAAGGCCTGAAACTTTTCTATAACTATTGACATTTACTAAAGTTTATAGTGTTTCTGGAGGTATGTTGTTTAGGAAGTGGATTCCACTCCTTATGTTGAGTAAAATAATTCGGTCTCAAAACCCCCCACAAATACTGCACTGAGACCACTACTGCGAAAGCAGGAGAGAGACTAAAGGGTAGGGGTAGGAGAAGAGCAGAAAGAAAATGTGTAGATGAAGAAATTATAGGATCAAGACAAGGGAGGGTGAATCTGGAAAGAATAGAAATAAGGGCTATAAGCTACTGTAATTAACAAATAAGAACAAGACCTGTATAATAGTTCTAAGGAGAAAGGGAGAAGAGGTGTGAAAGAAGACAAGATCAGTAGGAAAGCACAGATTAAAAGGTGGATGGGGGTGTGAAGGAATAGGCAAGGTGCGATGGGAATGTGATGACATGAAGTTTTGTTGTTGACAATCTTAGAGTCGGAAATGACCCATAGTTGACCTTCCAGTGGGTTTTTAGAGGCAGTTAATCGCACTGGAGGTGATTGCCCATCCTTCTCCTGCAGAGCAGCTGGTAGACTTGATTTTCATGTCTTCGAGATTGCAGCACAGCTTCTTGCGAATAAGACCAAAAGTCCTAGGTCAATAATTAATATATAAATAGCAATGTACAGAAATGTTTGAACAAAATGTACATGGGCAAAACAAGGCATGTGAATGATTGTGTGGAAGTGAATAATTGCATAAATCACACTGTATAGAAAAACAAAAGGGGAGTGTAAAGGAAATAAAAGGAACAGAAGAAAAGGACAGAAATTATTAGGACAGCATGGAGTACTGGGCAGATGGCGGGTGTGGGAGAACGGGTATGATGTAGTGGGAAGTTGAGGAAATAGAGTGATGAAAGGCAGAGGTCAATAGTAATCAATAAAATCAAACATAATGCATGTGAATAATTCTTTAAAACACAAGTTATAGAAAATGCATAGAACACAGTGAATGTGAAGGATTGTATAAAACAAAATGCAGGGTGAAACACAATGTATATGAATAATTTTATGCAAAACAATAAAGGTATTTTAAATATTGAATTATCAAGAAGAGAGAACGAGAAAGAGGGAGAGAGAACGGGAAGTGTTGTTGGTGCTGCGCACTGTAGAGTCAAAATCCACTCATAGCTGACTCTTTTCAGAGGCAGTGAATTCCTTGAGAGAAGATTGCCCTTCTCATTCACAGGGCAACAGGTGGAAATTAATCAAATGTCTTTGTGTTATTAACACAACTCCTTGTCACTAAGTCACCAGAGCTCCCTATGAAAATATTTCCTGGGGAAACTTTCAGATGGAGAATTTCCAGATCACAGGAAACCAGCACTTAACCCACATCTGCACCTGCTTGTGGATCTAATTGCTGTGCACTCAGCTCCCACAGAGAGGTTTCTGCCTGAGTTCATGCTGACTTTTCTAACTGTGTGTCTTTTGCACAGTAATATATGGCTGTGTCCTCGGTTCTCAGATTGTTCATCTGCAGATACAGCATGTTCTTGGTGTTGTCTCTGGAGATGGTGAATCGGCCCTTCACGGAGTCTGCGTAGTATTTGTTACTACCATCGTAATAAATAATTGAGACCCACTGCAGCCCTTTTCCTGGAGCTTGACGAACCCAGTGCATGCCATAGTTACTGAAGGTGAACCCAGAGGCTGCACAGGAGAGCTTTAGAGAACCCCCAGGCTGCCTCAGGTCTCCCCCAGACTCCAGCAGTTTCACCTCACACTGGACACCTGCAAACACAATAAAATTCTGGTCAGGAAAACCATTACACAATGTCCATTATTTCAGTCATGCCCTATCACATGCACTTATTCTCTACAAAATTACCTTTTAAAATAGCAACAAGGAAAATCCAATTAAGGGGAGACATTTTGACTCCTCTGCGTTCAGCCCTGGTTCCTGAGTGAGGACACCTGAGATCTGGGGGCTCCTCTCCCAGAGCTACATGGTTGGGGCTGGGCTGGTTTTCATCAGCTCGAGAAAGAGCCCTATTTGCATATGCTCCTCCTGTATGTTATCAAGATGTGGAGTGGCACGACTCTGACTCTGTGTGACCATAGCCCAGAGCAGACAGGAGTGTCCTAGGGCCATTTGGAGGACTGGACGTAGCAGTCCCGAAAAAAAATTCTTATTTTTAAATGTTTTACTACCCTTAGGGTGACAGATTACAGAGCAAATTTATTTTTTAAACAATATATTTTATACATTTTGTTTTGTGACATTAATTAAAATCCCTTCATGTGTAGGGCGATCTGATGGCCTAGTGGCTAGAACCTGTGCTGCAATCCCAAATGCAAATCTGCCAGCTGCTCCAGGGGAGAAGGATGGACAATCTTCTCCCATGCAATTAACTGCTTCTCAAAACTCGCTGGAGGGTCAGCTATGGGTTGGTTCTGACTCAACAGTACACAACAACTTGTAACAACTTGTAACTGCACACTTCACACTTTCTTCCTGTGATTCTGGATTCTCTTTTCTCTTTTCTGCCTTTTGATCTTGTGTGGTTGATTATTCTAAGAGTAATTACTTTCTTGATATTCTTGTTTGGCTGAAAGTGAAACGACAAGGTGAGTTCAATTGTAGGTAGAAAGGATTACAATGGGGCTTTGGATATCCATGACGCACCTGTGTATCTATCAGGCAAGTAAGTCTGGCCACTGTTGTGATTTTGAGTTTTGTTCCACTTTGCCCTCTATCCATCCAGTATATTATAAGGTTATCCCATTCATAGTGGTTAGCAGTGGTGGACAGGTGCCATATATTTGTTCTGTCCTCAGGATCATAGAGCATAGTGTAATTATTCTGTGTTCTATTCATATTATGGAGTAATTGTTTCATTGCAACGATAATTTCTTCACTGTTCTTCTTTGTTCTAGACAAGAACAAGCTATTAGTCACATCATAGATAATCACTATCAAGTTTCCAAGATCCTTGTTTAAATCTATCAGTGTGAGATCTAGAAAATCTCCAGAGACTATGGCCCTGGGGACCTGGACTTAATTCATTCACTTAAGATGTCTGGGTATAGAGAAGAAGTCCACATTAGGCTGCCATCTAGTGGCTCCACTATGTATATGCATATAGATAGACCATCTACAAATCAACCAAACATCGGTAGGATCATGAGTTTAATACCTTTCACCTACCCAAATGCCTCACCTTCCTATCGGCTTGTGTAGGTGTTTGTAATTATTGATGGCATAGAATCTTGTCTGTACCCTTTGTGCAACTCTATCAGTTTTCCCCCGTTCTTTTTTAGTAATGGGGTAATGCTTCCCTTAAGTCACCAACATTAATAAGTGTTTATTATCTAATTAAGGAACACTGGTTATATGGAAAACATTGAGATGGTAACTTAAATGTTGTAGATAAGAATTCACTGATATAAAGATGAGGCTCTTTCCTCTTGCAAAATTTACAACCTTTGAAACCCAAGAGAGAATCATGAGTTGTAATCAACTTCAGGGAAGTGGATCGTTATCTAATTATGCTTTTCTATCCTCTTTCTCCCTACCCTCATATCCCTGGGAACCATAAAAAATTTTTTCCTTCTGTTTGTAAACATTTCCTTATTTTTTCATTATTGTCAACTCATGTGCTTTTGCGATGATTGAACTAAATAAATATATATATTTTCCCTTGATTAATACACGTTGTGGGTGTTTTGCAGTTCTTTAGTTATTATTTTTAAATACTGTGTAGTGTTCTGTGGGCAATCTCCTGTGTGATTAATTGCTTCTAAAAACCACTGTAGCATCTGTGATTTGTTGGTTTACAGAACAACAGCAACCGTGTTCTATTAGGGATCGCTGGTCACCTAATGGTGAGAAGCTGAGCTGAAATCCCAAAGACATGTGGTTCAAATATACCAGCTGTATGCAGGAGAAAGATGGGAAATCTCTGCCAAAGTAATTTATTGCTTCTGAAAATCAATCGGAGGGTCAGCTATAGATCAGTTTTGACTTGACAGCACATTACAACAGCAACAAGAATGGTATTTTGGTGGCCTAGTGGCAAGAAACAATGCAACAATCCCAAAGGCACACAGTTTGAGTCCACCAACTGCTCCACAGGAGAAAGATGGGCAATTTCCTCCTGTGCAATTAACTGCTTCTGACAACTGGCCAGAGGGTCAACTATGAGTTGGTTCTGATTCTATTGTACACAAAAACAACAATCTATGTCATAGTTGTCTATTTGTCCATTGATGGACACTACTTTTGTTAGGCTAATATATATATGATGCTATAAATATGAAGTACTTGAGTTATCTGCTCGTGTCTTTTGGAAGCAAAGATGGCCAAGCTTCAGTCTCATACTTTGGACATGTAGCTAGATGAGGCAATTCCTTGAAAGGGGACATTGTTCTTGGAAAGATGGAAGGTGAGTAAAGGAGATGAAGACCTCCAAGGGGGTGCTATGATGCTGGCAACTTCAGCAACTAGCTTCAGTGTGTCAGAGATGATGAGGATGGCACAGACTTGGACACGTTTAAGATTGGCTGTTTATAAGATCACTATGAGTCACATTTGATGGCACCTAACAACAAGATCTTTGAATAAAATTATTTTTCTAATAGTGGCATAGCACTGGCCTGTTCATTTGCTGTACAGAGGTAACTCACGGTTGCTGTGATGCTAAGCACTGTGACACTGATGGGTCAAATGTGATAATGGTTACCCATGGTGGACAATGTTTGGTGGAGCTCCCTGATTAAAACAAGCTTGGAAGCAGGAGTTGTCATCCACTTCCAAAATAGCTTGCCTCCAGAAACTCTATGAACTTGGAGAAATGATGAAAGTTATGCAAGTTTTCAGGTCTTTTTGTTCATAGGTTCGCTATGAGTTGTCTATGACTTCACGGCACTTAACAACAACAACAAACATAAATAGATATCATTTCATAGAGATCTTTAGAACTCTGATTTATTTTTATTCCCTTGTAACTGTATCTGGATCAAACTTTCTGATTTCCAGGGCTGTAGATGATGTATTAAAAAAATGTAATCTTTATTTAAGTCTTATCTTCCATCTTCATGTTTTCCACCCACTGCAGGAGCAGAACCTTTCACAAGCTTCATAATTTTTTTTTTCCTTTAGTTGTTGCTTCTGCCTTATTAAGTCATTGAAGTCTTTTTAAGTGGTTGTTTAGTCCTTATTACTTCCCTGGCAGCTCTGATAGCCTCTTGTTATTGAGCCTTTTATAACTTCAGGATTTTGATTCCTCTTGGCCATTGTATCATCAAGAGATGTACCCAATGATGGCCCTGTGGAATTTGACTGCTTGGAGGATACTTTTCTTCTGAGTTTCTTGTGATTAGCCCTTTTTGCATTTTCTTATGTAGAGAACAGTCAAATTTATCTGCCAGTAAATTCCTTTTGGAAATGAATGCCAATTCACATTTTGCATTAAGAAAATTAAATACCTTCCTCTTGATCCTGGCATACTCATGTCCAGGGAATATCTTGTGCCCCTAAATCTGCACAGCTCAATCTTCATGGCTGCCATTTCAAGGGAAGAGATAATATTGTGAAGAAAAAGAGTATTATGGGAGGAGCTGTAGGTTATGTCTTGAAGTGAAAGAATATGAGCATTCTACTCTGCTGTTACTTTTCAGTAAAGCTTTGCTTATTTGTAGTTCCTTTCATTTTCATCTAAAGATTGTTCTACCCGTGAAAGCAAGATCTTGCTGATTTTGTTCTGTTGTTATTATGTGCCATTGAGTCAACTCCAAGTTATCGAGAATTTATGCACACTAGCTCTGAACCCTTCTATATCCTGAGCCAAACTCAATGTCTCTGAAAAACCTACTCACATCACCTCAGTTATTCTGTCAATTGATCTCCTCCAGGGTCTTCCTCTCTTGCATATTTTCTTAATCATTTCACGAATGATATCCTTATCTAAAGACTAGTTTATCCTAGCTACATGCTCAAATTATGTGAGATT